TTCATTTGGATTTCATATCCACCGAATCAGGTTTCAGGTGACGTCTGTGAGGCTCGGTTCAGTCCATGGAATTTTCCTCATGACATCCTGTATAATCACCTCTTTTCCGGCGGGTTCCTTCGTAATGTAATGAGAGCTAAATGGTAGAATCATGTAAGAAGCGATTGTATTATGCTTATAGAAATCCTTACCGCGAGCATTAGCACAAGCAGGACTTTTGTGATGTCCCCTGCAATCGCAGCTGCAGCAGCACATCATTGCAATAGACCTCACTTTTCATAGAATCATTGAGTCGTGTTTACGATTCCAGTTGCCTTGGTTTGCCAAATTACTGGACTTTAAATCTACATTTCACTGAATACATCGTTTAATGACATGAAAATTATGGCGGAATATCAGCGTTATCTTCGAGTCTATAGAGCGACATTTATTTGGCGTCGAAACGTATTCCTGTTCAGCCTAACTCAGTAATACGGTTCTCCATCCCATATATGTAGCTGCACAAATATCATAGAATTTCATTTACCTAAATGTCCCTCCCCCTTAACACGTAGAAGCAAAACGATTATGCACGTACGCAGTACAAATCCGGTAAAAAATGATATTTTGTAGTAAAATTGCAATTGTTACACTACTTTAAACTGACAAGCTTTTAACTACATAGATAACGAAATCTGTTGCACAATCAGTACATGGTCATGGTCTGCGGGAACACTGTCGCCTGATCATTTCGAAGCTAAGCTTTCGACTTTCTTTACTTGCTTTCGCTCAGTGCTGAACATGCATAAAACTTGGCGTGGAATATATTTCTATGTAAATCAGATTCATCTGATCAGTTAAAGTATTCGCTAAAATAATTTATTCGTTCAATCAGCAGGATTTGTACTCAATTTCTGGACGATCGAGGGAAGCCTTTAAATCACCTTTTCACATACTTTTCTTCCAACAAGGGGAAACAAAGTGACATTATGAAGACTGATCTCGCCTCGCTTTGGTTCAATAAAGCAAACGCAAATATTCAGCGATACCGAACGGTGGTATAGTTTACGAGTACAGAAAAGCGGCAAAAAATAATTTTTACGGGCATTAACAACGCCGTTTCTAAGTGGAAAATGCCTTGGGCCCCTGTTAGCGACTGTGGTCAGTTTTAGTGACCTGTATTCCGGAACTTCATCGAAAATTTGGCTTTGTGAAAGTGTGAAGGAATTCAG